AGGGAATCAATGTACTCTCGCACAGGGTTACCGTAAATAATCGAACATCACAACATACACACAACATCACTGCCCAATACACGTTACACTATTAACCCAACAAAATGGGTCTCACTTGTGAATCAAAGTTGTAGCTATTGTATGCACTTGTCTGTTTTTATTTTACGGGTTAAGAGTACGCAGTAATTAACCAAGGTCTAGTTTGTTCACCGACCAGTTCAAAAACAATTTATCCTCTCCGTAATCTGTCCAATACACATAGTGTACTAGTGAAACCAAACAATCAAGATAGAGTGTACATTTGAACTACAAGTGTTCACGATGGATTGTTCATTTCCATATAGGTCGTGAAAACATCATAACATAAGATAGTTTCATTAAACATGATTCTCATTCAAAAGAAAGATGGTGTGTATTACCCAAAAGTATTATATCGATCATATCGCCTAACATCTGACTCTGGTTCCTTCCACGTGTCTGTCTAAAACCTTCGCCGACAAACTCTTCATGAAAGGATCCACAAACTTGTCCTCCGATTCTATCTTGGCGACCATGATGTCTCATCTTCCTACGATTTCTCGCTTCAGGTGGTACTTGTGCTCTATGTGTTTACTGCCTTATGGGCTCGTGGCTCTTTTAAGTTTGCTACTGCTCCACTATTATCGTAGTAAACTGTAATACCTCTTGCCAAACTCATAACCACATCCAAGTCCAACAGGAAGTTCGTGAGCTCGCCGATGTACTCGGCTTCCATGGTGGATTTTGCCATGCATTTCTGCTTGACATTCCTCCATACAATGGTTTTACCTCCCAGAGTAAACATAAACCCTGAGGTAGATTTACTTTCGTCTGACTGGAAGTAGAAATCTGTGTAACCCACAGGGATCAATTGGTCTGATCAGTAGACCAAACTATAATCCTTAGCCCTCTTCATGTACCTGAGTATATGCTTCATCATGGTCCAATGATCATGTCCCGGGTTACTTTGGCACCTGCTTACCAAGTCTACTGCATAGTAGATATCATGCATGATACTTCCTACTGCTGATGCATAAGAAACCTTTCTCATGTCCTTTTATCTCTTGAGACATCTTGGGAGACATGCTAAAACGAGACAAGACAACATCTATGTACGAAGACTTGGATAAGTACAACATTCTCTTATCTCAGTGACTAATCACCTTGATTCCGAGAATGTGTCTCTCTTCACCCAGATCCTTCATATCAAACTTCTTGGACAACCCTCTCAGAGTCTTTCATGCTAAAATGAGACAAGACAACATCTATGTACGAAGACTGGGATAAGCACAACATTCTCTTATCTCGGTGACGAATCACCTTGATTCCGAGAATGTGTCTCTCTTCACCCAAATCCTTCATATCAATCTTCTTGGACAACCATATTTTACGTTTGACAACAAGTTACATTGTTTCTAATGAGAATGATGTCATCAATGTACAACACAAGAAACACCACCATCTTTCTGTCACATATCTTGTACACGTAGTGCTCATCCAGACATTGAGTGATCTGTACGTCTGGATCACCTCATCAAACTGGATGTTTCAAGACCTCGAAGCTTGGTTTAGTCCATAAATGGACCGATTAAGCTTACAAAGCGGATGCTCACGACCGTCTACGATACACCCCACTGGTTGTGGCATTGTTGTCTTCTTGAAGACTTCCGTTAAGGAAAGTATTCTTAACATCCATATGTCAAATCTCATAATCCATATGAGCAGAAACAACCAAGAGAAACAGAATGACTTGTTGAGTATGGTTACCGACGAAAATGTCTTCTCATAATCAATACCCTTTTTCGAGTATACCCCTTCGCAACACGCCCATCCTTGAAAGCCTCAAACTTCTCATTTCATCTTCTCTCTCTCTCTCTCTCTCTCTCTCTCTCTCTCTCATTCGTGACCCACTTGCATCCAAAGGGTAGGATTTCACTTGATGGTTCTACAAGATCCTATACATGATTGGATTTCATAGACTCCATTTCAATGATCATCTCACTTTGCCATGATTCTGCGTCCTTTTCCTGGAGCGCCTCGTCGTAGGTCCAAGGGCCAAGTTGTAGTTCACCTGAGACTAAGTTCGAAGACTCCCCAATAAACATAAACCTGTCGGGCTATCTAACAACCCTCCCACTGCGATGTGGTACCGCCTACATAGACGCATCCTCAGTGACACGTTGTGTAGTATTATGTGGTGTATCTACTTGCACACTCGGTATTGGACGTTCCACTTCACCCCTTAACTCATCTAAGTAAGTCTTCTAGTGGGCTTGTGATCTAGAATATAGTCTTCCTTAATCTAGCTTACGTGCTAACGATCACCTTCTGATCCTTGGGACTATAAAATAAACCACCCTTCGTTCCTTTGGGTTAGCCAAAAAAATAGTCGTACCTCTGATCGATTTTCCAACTTATCAACTCCTGCACTAGAACATGTGCTTGACTACCCCAAACTCGAACATGCGACAGACTAGGCTTGCGCATTTGCCACAACTCAGTCGGAGTAGTTGCAACTGACGTTGGAACTAGTTTCAAGATATACGTTGTTGTTCTAAGGCGAGTCCCCAAAATGAACTCGGAAGATCTGGAAAACCCATCATCGACCGAACCATCTCTATAAGAGTTATATTCTTTTGTTCTGCCACCCCGTTTTGTTGAGGTGTGCCAGAAAGACAGTCGGGATACAATCTCTGGCTCTGACAAGGAAGTCCTAAACTCTGCAAATAGGTATTCGCCACTTGATCTGATCTAAGTGAATTGATACTCTCACCATGATTCTCTCCACAACTGCCTGATATTCTTTGAACTTTTCAAAGCATTTGAATTTGCGGCACATGAAGTAAACATATCCAAATCTCGAGTAGTCATCAATAAACGTGACAAAGTACTCAAAACCTCCTCTAGCTTGGATCGGCATTGGACCACATACATCAGAATGAATCAGTTCCAGCACATTCTCTCACCTACGCCCTTAGCCGAAGACGGTCGCATAGCCATTTTACCTATGAGGCAAGACTCGAAAGTCATGTAGTCATCTACCTTCATCGAACCGAATTGTCCAATAGATACCAACCTTTGAATCTGCCTAAGGTTAATGCGCCCAAGCTCAACGTGCCAGAGATATACTTGACTCATTTTCGAAGGTTCCTTTCTCTTATTAGATTCAATTAATGTGCTATTTAGTTCTGATTATTGCACTGTGGATAGCTTGGTTTAAGAACATACAAATTGCCTACTAATGACCAGAAAAAAATGAAAACTTTCCATGACGAATAATAACCTTATCATTAAATCAAATAGAATATCCTTTCAGAGAAAGTTTAGAGACATAGATCAAAGTTCGGCTAAACGGCGGAACATAAAGACAATCTTTTAAAACCAAACATCTACTCCTAGCAAAGCATAATAACGTTTATCACTGCAACACCTTCTGTCTTCGTGGCGTTGACCATGTAGATAGTGATCTCTCCATCCCTAAATCATCTGGCTCCCTGGAACCCCTGCAATAAATTGCTGACATGATCAGTGGCTCCCGTATTCACACACCAGGTACTGGTGGATAACACCGCCCTAAACATGTTTCTACGATAAAAAAACAGTAAATACCTCCACTGCCCTTCTTGAGGAGAGGCCGGTCAGCCTTCCAGTGTCCTAACTTCTTGCGGCTATGGCACTTATCTTTCAGCTTCTCCAGACCTCCCTGTGCGACTACCAGAGCGATCACGGGCCTAGACGCCACCTTGGCCTTCCGAGCAGACTCTCTCTTCCTCTTTGACTTTTTTGATCCCACGGTAGAGGGGCCATCCCGCTCGGCCACTAGCGCATGTGAGTTCTAACGAAACAGTCCCTTAGCCGCCTGGAGGTTACCGTGAAGCTCCGCCAATGAGAACGACAACCTGTTCATGTTGTAGTCAAGTGGAACTACTCAAAGTTCCTGGGCAGCGACTAGAGCACGTTATCAACCTGAGTCTCCCCAACAATATCGACCCCAGCTCATTGAGCTGGACCATTAACTTACGGGTATGATCCCTCATGGGAGTGCCCTTAGCCATGGGCATGTTCATTAGAACTCGCATAGGCTCCAGTCTAATAGCCCTAGACTGGTGTCCAATGGTACAAGTTTGGTTATAATGAGGCTCGACGGTCATGTGTTGTAGTGCAAAGTATTAACTGTTTAACACAGTTTTGATATGTTTATAATGTTTCAAATAAATCTACATC